TGTGTCTAACCAATCTTTGAGCTTCATTGAGCTCGAAGGTGTCGTAAGTGAACTGAGCTCTAGCTGCGAAACCCCTGGTCTCGAACCTTACGATCTTCGGACTTGGGCATCCCAACTCCAGGGGCGTATTTCAGTCAGAAAATACTACTTCAAGGCGCTTCTCGGTCCACGGAGGGACTGTCCTCAACTGTCATTCGATGCAGACGTTCTTCATGATGAGCGATCAGAAGGCAAATTGTGGACAGTGGTTTTATCGACATAGAAGATGAAACTAATCGCGAGGGTGACGGGGCCAGGTTGTCTGTTCATTTCGTGAAAGAATTTGGTTCGGCTGATACGCTCAAATCTGACACGGGCAATGGCAATGTCCGTCAAATATATGAGCGATAGCCCGGTTTCTGGTCTATTCACAAATGTGAGGAAACCAACGAGATCTAAAACGCAGGTGACGATTCCTCCATTGGCAAAATCATTCGCCATGGGTGCTGGCTGCCAAAACGAGAAAAAGCAAGAATGAAGAATGATAGAGGCCAGGAAGCCGCCAAAAGCCCTGGTCAACGGCGCCATTGCAATGTATAGTAACAGCGGGAAGGCCAGCACATGCCACTAGACGGGTAATACACTGCCAGCAAGAATTGTAGTACTATAGAGGTCTGGCACGGTTACAGGAGGTTGAGCTCACAGCTCACTGTCCGAGTCACAGTCTCAGTGATTTTTCGAGGAGTCTGTAGTCCTCCGTGGCTCAAAATGAAGTATTGCAGATCGGTATACCATCTTCTGTCGCCAGTAGTGAGTTCAACATACACCCAAAGTAATGGAAAGAGATCTAAACCATCCAAATACAACGGTGTTGGAATTCGGAGACATTGTCCCTGTAGGCGGTGGTAACCCATTCGCGGCAGGCATGACTCATGACTCTGATTTCCGGCTTTGAACTGAACCATCACTACCACTCTACCTTTGTTTCTGTTACATATGACCAACGGAGCTCGGACCGCTGCCATTAAGTGCCTCTCGATTGACATTCAGTGAAACTATATGCCTACGGCCAGCTCGCCTCACCAACATCGAGCTCGAGACTGGCAGGAACGCTCCAAGTTCAGGTATGTTTCGCACCTTTACAGAAGAGAGCTCGATAATCCCGCGGAACTTGTGCACGTAGATGGTTCACTGGTGACCATGACTCGCGAGTAGTAAGTACTCTAGGCATACTTAACATATGTTTGATGAGCATCCGCATCATTTTGGGCCCAATCTTCAACGACCATGATACCATCCGGTTGCACAACAATCTTGACTGGGTAAGTATAACGCCATCTTTGGTGCACAGCACTCAGGAAATAATCAACGAGACCCTATTCAATAAGGGGAGCACCGATCTGTTGTGCATGCAGCCAGGCCCCACTTGCTCGGTTATACGGACGCACACAGTGCGCTCCGGTCTGTGAGACGGTACATAATAGGCCATCTTGGTTCTTCAAGGACAATCCGATGCACATCTTGCAGTTGTCATGCAGACTTCCTTATGCTAATCAAGGTTAAGTTCTTCGTGATACTGGTCACTGGGGACATAAAACTGGGAGTGGACGCAGGTCTCAGTATTACACCCCAGTCCAATTCTTGAAAAAGCTCCTCAATCTACGCAATATGGCCTCAGAACAAGGGATTGCAAAACAAATTCTGAAGCCTTACACCTCCATTGAGCAAGTCATTATCAAACCTATCGCCACACTATCGGTATGTTTATCCGCACAACTATGCATCCTTTCTCCCAATAAAAGTCTCACCGTCGTGTGAACAGGTGATGTTTCTGGTCTATGGTAAACCAAAAGACACGATACAAAGGTCGCTACTAATATGGGTGACCTCATAGGGATGTATATCATTCTGTTTGGGCTGTCTCTCAATGTCCTCTATCACCGCCGTGAATCTCCCACTTCAAAAGCATACACAAAATGGATCATCACCCTTTTTGTACTGGTCACCATCTACAATGCTACCATTATGTGGCGCCACATAGATCAGCCTCTCATTGCTTTCAATGCTGTCAAGACAAACAATTATGACTCTTTTCTCCAAACCCTCTCAGGTGAAGAGGATCGGCCCTCTGCATGGGTCACACGAGAGTACGTGTTCACAAGACAATTCTCGCACATGTGGGGGTGTGAATGCTGAGATCATGTTTGTAATAAAGGGGCTTGAGTGCATATCCTCCTGTTATATCCGGGTAGGCTTCACTTTCTTTGCAGATTTTCACAATGAACTGATCTGCTGCCTAGCTGTATCTTTGATTACTTGATGGTAAGTTTCTTGGCCAACAGTGTACCCGCAGAGTTGAGGACCTTATACTTCTACTAGGTCTATCGTTGTTATGTCATCTGGGGGCATAGCAAGTGGATTCTCTATCCTTTTGCCTTTGTCATGCTTATTACAGACAGTGAGTAATCTGTGTATATATGACAAAGGCCTCCAATTTCCATCTCTCACCAGTGATAGGCTTTGTGGTCACTGCAATTAAGATTGCAGCCTATCAGCATCAAAACACTTCTCTCTTGGCAACAATGGAGCATATTGTAAATGTGCTTATTATAATCACCACTGCATATTCCTCACTATTGACCCTGCTAACAGGTATGTTCAGCTGTTTCCCACTGCCCCAGCATATGCCTTATCAATTGAATACCTGTAATTGACAGCTGGTCGTATCTGGTGGACAGTTCATCAGGTAGGACAGATCACTGGAAGTAGGGTCTACACAAAATACAACCTTATTGTTGCAACAATGTATGTGTGCAGCTTTTGCATCTTATCTTCAGGTCCTTAGTGCTAATTGGTGCTCACTGTTAGCCTCGAGTCTGGACTTCTTTTCTCTGCCACACAAGTAGCCAATGTTGTTTTTCCATTGATTTTAATTCCCAAATTTCGAGGCCTTGTCCTTTTTGATGTTGATGTCATTGCCATACAGATGACGGTCAGCACTTACTCTTTAGTTTGATTGTTTGACTTGGCTAAATCACCCACATTTGGTGTCACAGGCAATTGCTCCGACCCTTATAATCGTACGAATCGCATATGGGCAAGCGGTAGAAAGCGTCCAGCAAATGGTCTCAACGCTCCAATTCATTGAAGGGGCAAATGACTCTCAACAACGATCTACGACTGCCCGCGGCACTGTCGACCCTCGGCAATCTTTGGCGGGCATCGAGGGAAGAGGTACTGCAGGAAGAATTGAGATGCCGGACAAATCCTCAAATGTGGCTGGAGATGCGGCGTGAGGTACACTGTACGGGGGGCGTCGATATGAAGAGAGATTGGCTGGGATTTGGTGTTCCTCACGGCGTCCAGCTCCTCAACCAGCGTTGTAGATCGTTTCTTCCATTTCTCCTTTCTTCCTTTCTAGGTTTTCTGTCCAACTACATATCCTCCTAACTGATTCGGCCTGCTCAAACCATATACCAATGTTTCATCCATACTCGTACTAATTTATTTATTTAACGTTGAATTCTAATTTCTGTTTATACTCCCTGTACGGCCATCATCGGTCCGTATTCCTATTGGTGTCCGTTCTTCGCGAGTATGTCATCGAGCAGATGAGTACTTTTTGTTGTCTTCAATCATGTACTGAGCGGGACCGCCGAGGCGGTATCTTTTTGAGGCTCTTGTTCGATTCGGATCAGTTTTCTAGGCTCATGGCGGCACGGTACGGACGATCTTTTGGTCTAGTGTTGTAGTGGTGATCACTAGCATCAAAAGCTCCGTCCTTGAATGAAGCAAGAAGGTTGTGCAACAATTTGCTCTCCACAAACTCCCCCCGTCCAATCGATGTAGCGCGAAACAACCGAATCCGGTCAACCAGTCGAAGCGAAGGCAGACGAATATGATCTCCGTACTTTCCTATGCATCCAACGGCCTGATGGTCTAGTAGTATGATTCTCCCTTCGGGTTAAACACCCGCCCTTCGTAGGGCTCGCTTGGGAGAGGTCCCGGGTTCAATTCCCGGTCAGGCCCTGACACTAATTTTTGCATTACCTTTTCGCATCGCCCTAGATTTTTAGGCGCTCTCCCGTCTTACCAAACCATCATCATCACACGCAACGCCCATGGACACAAAAATCTGGAGGTCAATCCAAGATACTTGTACGACTTGAAAAGAGATTAGCTGCTTTGACTTTTAGTTACGGTAATCATTGGTGCGTCTCAGTTCGAATTTATGCTCAGAATTTCGTTTTTGCTGAATCAGCTTCCTCTTTTCGGGACGAAAATCCAGCAAATCGACCAAACATGAACTTGCCAGTCAGCTGTCGACCATAATAATGTCAAGAGATGTCAAACTGAGGCTGTAGCAGCCAGAAAGCTCAGACACGACCGGGATCGAGCCACCCGTCACCATTCTCTATAGCTTCTACCTGGAAAAGGCCACCAGCACGCAGAGAACTCGACCTCCCCATTCTATGCACTAGCCCTGGGTAAAAAGACGACCTATATCCAAGTTCCGTATCCTTTGCATCTCTCTGGCGCATATAAAGGCTCTCGCCGTCACTCTCTACGACCTCGTGTTGATGACGAGCTCATATATCCGACAATCGCAGTCAAGGCTCGGCCAAAAACCGTTCAGTTTTTGCGGTCAGCAATCAGATTCTGTTCGACAGTCGGAAGAAGTGGTGGATTACTGTGACTGGCCGTTGGCATGATTATGGGTGGGATATGAGGAGAGAGAGGGCGATTTTAGGGACGAGACGTGAGTGTGCACGAGCGGGCAAACGATATATTCTGGTCGTGGAGCTCGATGCGGAGGAAATAGGTACATCGTGGGGCGGTGCTATGAGTCGAATCGTCGACACGTTGGTGGTGCGTTCCTAGAGTGATCTTTTTTACTTGAATTTGTCGTACTGATGTACTGTTTAACCTGCAGGTCAACGGCGTCTGGCGTCGTAGACGTGTCTCAAACAAATCGGAAGCCTCGCTATCGCCAATTACCGACATGGTCAACGTCGAGAGTGTACTATCACATATTCGCTGAAAGCATACCTCGACGGTCGAAGCGTGAACGGAGCTCGGCTTGAACCTGTTCGCCGGGATACAAGAGAGAGCTCTCGACACCTTTCGCCCACAAGATTGGAGTGTCGCGGATGATCATGGATACCGAACCACGTATGTACCTGCTTCCTTTCTCGTTCTTCCTTCAAGCGCTGACTTAACCCTTTTTTTTGGCTTTCGCTACTTCGTCTCCAGGGAATTCGACACCACTCGGCTTACAGAAGATACATCACGATAGCCCTTTCAAGTGGACAACCGGCGCATTGGCAGCCAGACCGACTCACCCCAACCTGCCGAGGTTCTCCGTCACCGAAAGACCAAACCCGAGGACGAAGATGAAGACCAGAACGGGTAGTACCTGCCTCGAACGAGACCTAAAACGAGGTACCACCCGTGTACGCTGGAAGCTACCTTTTCTTCTTGTACAAGGAGGACTGGGACGATCACCGCGATTAGGACTGGGGTGAGGGTAGAGGCCAGGCCTGGATGAGTCCTTTGGGTGGGCTGTCATTGCCTTGAGGAAGAGTAGAGTTGTGTTTCGGTTGGGCTTGTACGCCTCTGAGCTTGACAAGCCGAGGAGTTCGGCTGGGATGCGAACTCGGAGAGTAAGAAGGGAAGAGTGTGACCGTTCTCCGTGTGCCTAGGTCGGAGTATGATGGAGTGGGGAGGCTTGTTTGGGACACGAGGGTCGATGCGACTGTTCTCACCGGTCGTTCGACCCTATCATTGGGCGGAGAGCACGAAAATGTCTCTGGTACGGACGTTTTGGTCTGCTTGAGGCCGGTCAGGGAAAGCGGTTTGGATGCACTCTTGATGGGGTAGGGGAAGGGTGTCGTTCAGGTCGACGGAGACAGGGGTGACATGCCGATGGGAAGGGCTATTGTTGAGGCAGTGCTTGGGGATGAAAAAACACGAGAGTGCATGGGGATCAGGCTGTTGAGGCCATCGAGAGGGCTGCGTACGGTCGGTGAGGCGGAACAGTTGTCTTCGTCTTCGGTTTCCCTTGCGCACGTTTTACCTCTTCGGACTCGCAGTTCTGCGTCTTCCCTTTGCGACTATCAGACACTAGAACGGTCTCGACTGTTGTATATGAAGGTTGATCGTAACATGCAGTATTTCTATTGCTCCACCGACTACCGCGTTGAATCATTCATCGCTCCGACGATCGTAATGAGACCAAGGTGAACTTGAACTCAAGCTAGAGACCAGGACGAGGCGGAGGTCAAACATATACATCCGAACTGACAGAAGAAAGCTGAACATCGAGATTGAAACGTGACGTTGTATACAAAGCGTGGCAAAAATACAAAGAACACAACAATGTAAGCGAGGTAACAAGAAACATGATCGGTAGAGGAGGGCGAAAGCTGCTAGTCAGAGTCGTGACGATGGTCAAATGCACTGGTTTCTTTGTCCTCCCTGCCATCCATCCAGGTGGTACAGACCGGGCATCTCTTCGCCTAGAAGGGTGAAAAATCAGCACTAAGAACCGAATCATGCCACCTCAGAAGTGCTTCGACGACCTACTTTTGCGCTAATTTGCTTTCGGCAATAAGGGCAGTAGATGCTATGCCTGATAATCGGGTCATTGCTGAGATACCCGTAGGTAGTCGCGATCAAGTACAGCGTTAGGCCAATGACGACGAAATTGAACACTTTGTCAACGAGTTGACTAGTAACAACGTTTTCTCTTTAGTAAAGCAGCCGAATTAAATGAACACAGATGGAGCGCAATTCCAACTCACCCATAGGCCATGATGACGGCGCCATCGTCTAAGGCTTGTTGACGGGTATTGTAACCCTCGTAGCCTCGGGGTCCTTTCGACAGAACCAGGAATTTCTCTTCAAGATTCTTTGACATGAAAGGCAACAGTGACAACGGCGGAAGGAGAATGTCGGAGACCAGCGAGTTCACTACAGCAGTGAACTGCGATGCTATTCTGTTTGTCACAAAATCCGATTCAGCAAGCAAGTTTGCTCGAGCTCGAGTGGCGAAAAAACGTACATCAAACCAACGGCAACCTCGAGGACATTGTCCCTCAAAGCGAATTCCACGAAACCGGACCAAATGCCCATAACACGATTGGATACTACATGTTCTGCATTGAGGAGATGTCGCCTTGCGTCCTCTGAGTTCCAGCGACTTGGACGTGGTCGGTCTTCAACGTCAGCCATAGTGCGGGGCGAGATGCTGGTGGTTTGGAATAAAAAGCTTCTGCGGCCCTGCCTCATGTACTTAACAATTCACTTGAAGGGCGGACGTCATGGTTCTCACGAACGTCCGAATAGGGGCGCGAGCCTGAATCGATTCATGTCGGACCTGTAGGATGTCAGTCTAGGCGATTGAATTGCGACAGCATTCTCCAGTACTCGTCCATTTACTCAGTGATCAGGACTGCTTCGAATTCTTAGACTCAACTGTGGACTCCAGAATCAGAGTGTGAGAGAATCGTTCAGTGTAGCAAGGGAAGTGCAAGTTCGGTCGCTTCAAGTTCGGGTCTTATTACTATTAGCCTCGCGCTGAATTCGGATATTGACTAGAAGGGGTTCTCAATTTCGGGTACGTAGTAATGTGTATGTATGCTTCATCATGCACTAAGAGAGCTGAATGCTAGCGGCGATGGAACTCGTACTGTCTGTCCATTCCGAGTTTTCCATTAGAAAGAGTTACAGGGATTCAATCATTTGATTGACATAGGACGTTCATCCCGGTATTTCGACTCACTCGAGGTAATGTTCAGGTCTCTTCGTGGCTACTCAGCGTTGATTAAATTGGTGCTGACGAGAGGCTAACATCTGGCTGTCGCATTGCGAACGAGCGCCCATATGGACCCACAATCGATGTAGCGACCTTAAAATTGGTTAATGCGGGGCTCATTTATGCTATTCATACCACTAATAAGGACGATATACCTTCATATGCAGATGATAGAAGGCATGTATCAATGGAATTCTGGACTCCGAAGGATTCAACTGACCCCCCGGCAGATCCACGCCTCAAACTACACTTGCTTCCGTGTTTGACAGTGACCTTCTTGCCCTAATTCCAAGGCTTCTGTTTCAGGGGTTGTTTAGTTCGATGATACAATGGTTCATAGGCATCTCAGCTGGGATGGTCGCTGGGAATCTGGCTTGTTCGTCACTTCCGTGATCGGAATGCCGACGTATACCTTCCCTGCGCGGTTGGAGACGACCCGATCCAGATCAAGAATCGTTTCTTGGCAGAGCCCGCCAACTCCTCTGCTGTTTGTCATTTCCACACGCTGGCAAGCCAATGAATATGTTCAAGAGGGAGATGTTATGGAATCAAAGCGTGTATTTAAAAGAACAATATTCTATTCAACCACTCTCCATGTCGACGCAGCCGCCGCACCTCAAACCGCGAGGTTACCAGCCACCTCAAATGGCGGCTTTTCCATCTCAAACCTCCCCACAGTGGCCCTTTCCTTGAGTTCCCCCAGAGATCACTGAAGGTTGACGGTGCCACGGGCAACTGTAGACTGTCCCTGGGAATTGTTTCCCCTTCTGGAAATTGCATTGCCAAGACTGTTTGTTGCACGCTTTCCACAGCTTGCCCATACACAATTTGTACGATTATGAGAATCGGAGCGATTAATTCGGACACGTTAGCCGAGTCAAAAAAACGAAAGACAAGAAATGACTCTGACTCATGGCAAAGCAGGGGCCACCTAGTGCTTCAGCGCCCGTACTCGACACTCACTGAAACAACCATGGCAAGTTCACATCTATCTCATTTCTGTCCCCCGGCTGAACATAAATCCGCTTCATCAGATTAGGGAAACAGGAATGGCTAAGCTGCGACAAGTTCAAATGAGAGCTTGAGGTACGTGAGCTGTGTTATCCTTTTTCCGTACCATTCTTGACCTGTCATTTGACCTTAGATTGCCTGGCTTCTGGCTCTCGCATGGTTTATTTATAGCTTACCACTATACAGCGGTTGACCACCCGCG